AAGCATTTACGTTAGGGCATGTAATCAAAGAACTTTTATGTGATGGAGGTAAAGAATTCGACAACAATAATATGAAGTCGTTTCTGAACTCTAAGGGTATTAATCTCCGTGTTACTATGCCTTATACGCCCGAACAAAATGGCTCCGCAGAACGTGAGAATCGTACACTTGTGGAAAGCGCTAGAAGCATGATTCATGCAAGGGATTTGCCGATTAGGCTGTGGGCTGAGGCTGTAAATACGGCTTGTTATATTTTAAATCATACGAGCCCCACTCAATTTGAAAAACCTCCGTATGAATTGTGGTACGGGAGAGATGCTGTTCAACCAAACCATTTGAAGATATTCGGTACCAAGTGCTTTGTGCATGTGCCTAAACCAAACCGAAGAAAATGGGATAAAAAGGGTATTCCTGGATATTTTGTTGGTTACTGTGGTGTAAAGGATGGATATCGTGTATGGATCGAGTCACGCCAAAAAGTTATGCTAAGTCGCGATATAATTTTTTCAAAAGAGGAGATTCTGGAAAATGCTCAAGATGTGACGACACCTGAAATCCATGGCAACGAAGTGACCATTGTTTCGAGTAAGAAGTATCCGTCACCGAATGAAAATGTGGTATCTCAAAATTGTCAAGGGGAAGAATCCGCTGTGGACGAAGTCACAGAGGTCGAAGCACAAGAAGAGGATTCCATTAGTGAAGGCATCGTTATGGAGGAAGCACCTGGACAAGATGCGGAGGAAGTAGCGGTTCAAAAGATCGTTACGGACGAAATATCTGCTCGAAGACAATGTAAAAAGCCAGCATACCTTAACGATTATGTGTTGTTTGCGGAACATTCGCCACCGCACTCGTTTGCCACAGCAATGAACTCTGACCATTGCGAGGAATGGAAACACGCCATGAAAGAAGAAATCGCTTCACTTCAGGAAAATAATACATGGGATCTAGTTCAATTACCACCAGGCAAGAAATCTGTGGGAAGTCGATGGGTTTTAACGATAAAAACCAAACCAGATGGAAAACAGCATCGTTTTAAAGCCAGACTTGTTGCAAAAGGCTATGCACAAAGGGTTGGCGTCGATTTTACTGAAACTTTCAGCCCAGTAGCCAGGTTCGATACAGTTCGAACGTTGTTGAGTGTGGCAGCTTCGGAAAAATTGTACACAAAACAATTTGATATAAAGACTGCGTTCCTTTACGGCAAATTGGAGGAAGAGGTGTATATGAAGCAGCCGGAAGGGTTTGAAGACGGCACTACAAAAGTGTGTAAACTCAACAAGAGCATCTACGGTCTAAAACAGTCTCCACGCTGTTGGAACAAACGTCTAATGAACTTTATGTTACACAAGCAACAGTTTAAACAAAGTAAAGCCGATCCTTGTTTATTCATTAAAGGGACTGTCAAATCAAAGGTCCTGGTTGCAATCTATGTTGACGATGGGATCGTAGTCGGAAACAACAAAGAAACCGTAAATGGTTTCATCGATGATCTGAAAGTGGAGTTCCAAATAACGGAAGATGATCTTAGTTGCTTCTTAGGTATGCAGATATCGAATTTATCTAACGGGTCTATCTTTGTAGGTCAGGAAAGCTATGTCAGTCACATTTTGCAGCGTTTTGGTATGGAGAATTGCAACTCTGTATCAACGCCATGTGAGAAAATTGCACAGCTGTTCGAATCTGATCCTAAATTAGATGAGAAGGTGCCGTATCGTGAAGCAGTAGGCAGTCTCATGTACTTGAGCATTGCAACAAGACCCGACATCGCATATGCTGTTAACAAGGTATCCGAATCGTTAGAAAATCCGACGTTTTCAAATTGGCAAGCCGTCAAAAGGATATTCAGGTACCTAAAAGGATCTGCGAACGTGGGCATTGTATACAAGCCAAAGTACAAGGCTGGTGAACTAGAAGCGTACAGCGATGCAGACTTTGCCGGCGATCATAAAACTAGACTATCAAGATCGGGTGCTGTGTGCAAGTATGCAGGCGGTGCGATAACTTGGGCCAGTCGAAAGCAAAGGAGTGTAGCTTTGTCCACCACAGAATCCGAATATATTGCTGCAAGTGAATGTGTTAAAGAAATCGTGTGGCTAAAGGAACTACTAAGTGAGATTATAGAACTGCAAGGTGTTCCGTGCCTCCAAATCGACAATGCCAGTGCGGTAAAACTCGTCAAAAACCCGGAATTCCATAAACGAACGAAACATGTCGATATAAGATACCATTTCATCAGACAAAAATACGAAGACGGCGAAATCACAGTACGTCATGTGGAAGGAGAGCATCAACTTGCCGATATATTGACAAAAGCACTACCACGTCCTAGATTTGAAGATTTGCGAATGAGGTTAGGAGTGTTACCGGTACAGGGTGTGACAAAAGTTTTGGGAGGAAGTGTTGAGAATATGACAAAACATTCATAGCGGCAACACTGTTTTATGTATTATATATATATCTGTGGTAGTAGCACTTGTCCGTTGTCCGTGTAAATGTCGACACGTCAATTCTTGTTCTTGATACGTTGTTTTATTATTACATTTATTTTCTTACGATTATAACATTATTTATAAATAAATAATGTTTATAATAAATGCTACAAGAAAAACAATTAATTGATTTCTTAGTAGGTACTATGCGATCAAAAATGAGTTGCTGTCGAGTAACCTTTGGAATTTGTGTTTCCATGGGAAATCGTACTTAACTTGAACTTCCAAAGGCGACTCGACAGTTTTGATCGCCCGTTACAAGTCCATTCGATTGGAACGTTTATCCAGTTTTGAGTTGCTTCAGTGAGTTTTTTGAGAAGTGTTTGTTCAAAAAGTAAACGGGCGGGCGACTTTTCACATACGAATCGTAAACAAGATTATGTTGCCGATTACCACCACCCAATCTGCAATTAAAACTTGGATCGGTAATCATTATATGTTGCGGAAAATAAACCAGCCCCGTCTTAGTAATGGCTCCCGCCACGCGGTACTGAAATTAATCATGATCGAAGTCATAATTTCAAAATGGGAGTACAAAGGTGAAGACGTTTTGATACCGCGCATCTGTATGATTACAAGTGAACGACATGCCATTCGACTTTAAACATTTACAATTTCCAGTGCGGCTTGCATTTGGAAATATTGAAAATTAAATAGCAAGGGCAGTGAACGTGTTTGTGAAATCAATCGGAAAATCCATGTCTTGCACATGGCCAATTGTATGTCGCCTGCTCCATGTTGGAAAATTTTCAACTTTATTCAAATGCCAGAAAACAAAACTATAATAACAATGTCGATATCAGAAAGGATTACAATAAGCACTACGTTTTTTGTTTTATTATTATTTCAAGTTCGAATTAAATATTCATCGCTGAGACAGGACAACGTCTGTCGGGTCAACTAGTAATAGTAATTTATAGGTTTGGCGTTAGGCAGTTAACCGTAACACAACGTTTTACTATTATATTTAGTATTCTCTTTAGGTTTATCTTTATATATAAAAATGAACTCCTGTTTCTTCTGGTCACGCAATAACTTTAGAACGACTTTACCGATTTCATTCATCTTTTTTTAAAAGTTTTCTAATACTGTGTAGAAGGTTGAAGGTTCTTACGTCAAGAATAACTAAGAAAATTGCGCAGAAAATTGGAAAATTGGAAAAAACTTATTGATTATTTAAACATCGCGCGTTTGACGGTGCGACGGCAATTGTTTTAACAGCTACATCGATCGGCAATGGATCGGCATAATATCTGTCAAAAAATTAATTTATTCATATCATAGTGTGCTGTTAATTCGATCGGATAGTTTATCCAGATTTCAGTGAGTTTTTTGAGAAGTTTCGAGGTTATTTCACCGCAATCGCGCCTTTTATATTAAAATTTTGATATACCTAATACCCATTTTTGGTAAGTGTTGAATGTTGATAGACTAAACACGTGGTATACATAGTTATACAGAAACACTAGGGAGTCAATTTCTATTTTCAGTTGAATTTTAGTTTTTTCAAGATGCTACTAATTAGACGTACCAATATGGTACCAACTTAAGTCGCAGAATTCGTAATCCCACAAGTCAAACATAATATACGAGTACCTACTTAAGTCAAACTGACGAGAAAAGCGAAGAGCGAAACGGAATCGATATGAACAACGCAGAAATGTACCTACCGAGTTGCATTTAATTATAACGTAGCAATCCATTACAGTTTACAGTAGGTAAATCGTTGCTATTAAACCAAAGAACTTTGTGTGTCCACATTGCAAGGCTTTTAATATTAAAACTGACGCCTCGGGATTATGTTGCGCCATTGGTACCGCCACCAGAGCCACAGCCACTACATTCCTTGGTTTCCGGAAATGGGCTAGATTCTATACATTTTTTTTACTGATATCCAGAAATACAATAGGTAATTGCTTTCAAATTACGGCATTTGGCGCAACAAAAAAAGGTACGTTGTTAGCTCTGAATCGCCAAACGCAACTAGAAGTGAGTGGGTTCAATTTTTATTATTTTGGGGAGAAATGGGGAGATTTTTGGGCAAGTAAATCCCTTTTCCGGCTAAACGGTTGAACCGATTTAAACCAAATTTGCGACACATAAGTATTAGACCTAAAAGGGCAGAATCGCGCAAGCGCAGATGGGGCGGGTGGTACCTGTGCTAGCCACAGCAAATGTTTGAAATAATTTTTTGTAATTATTTATTCCAGTCCGAATTGAATAGGTGTTCATAGCTAAGAAAGAGGAAAGCGTCCGTCGGGTCAGCTAGTCAATTAATAATTAGTAACAGTCGAATTGTAATTAACTTTTGGAAAAAAACGTTTTAAATTAACAAGAATTCTAAAAGACGTCCCTCAGAATTGCTGCCACGTCGAACGTCAACGATCACAATAGCAAGATTAGCCAATTTCTTTAAAAAAAAGATCGATACACACACTATAGTTTACCTTTATAAATAAGAACCATGTGACTACAGTTCGTACTGCGCTATATTTTACCTTTACTTACCTATTAAACCAGTCGTCGGTATAGCGGGGATAGGGATACGGATCATTGCTACTGAAATCGTAACTGGCTTTCGCGTTCTGAAAAGAGGAAGGAATTAATATGCAAAGGTTTTGTACGGTTTCAAATTGCACAATTATACGTATTTAATTTACTTACGTAATTGAATTTTAGATCCGGATGCATGTAGTCAACACCTGAAAATGGAAGAAAATCTAAATCAATAACCTTGCAAGCGCAACTTTCTGTCGGCGCCAAAAGTTGTAGACTCGAATTTGAGTCTTAAAAAAATTCGTTCGACGGATTTGCATAGAATTGATATCAGATGAAAATCTGTTTAATTTTACGTTGTTTAGGAGTAACAACCATATTTTTAAAAGGTAGATATTTGAACACCAGGTTCTAAACACATAGAATAAAAAGTGCCTTTTTTTGTTCGCGCTATACAGCTAACTCATTGCATCAAAAAAAGAAAACCGATCGACTAAATCGCTTCAAATGCCATCAATTGAACCTTTCGTAAACAAAGGTAAGAGGTACTCATTCAGGATTTTATCTCATAAATTTTATTTGTGTTACTGCTAGAGCCGATTTTATGACATGTGATTTCCAAGAAAGGTTGCACAAGAATCTCGAGCTCGACTGCCTTCGTTGTTAATGAATAAAACAATGATGTATGGAATTTTTCTATATAAAAAATGCTTAATATTGTATTTGCCATAATAAGACCATAATAAGGCATTCAGTTGTTTTTATTTCAGAAAACAAATGAGTAACGAAAACAATCGATTTTTTTTAAAAATAGCAATGTACCTTTTACTCGTTTGAAGAGATGTGTGATACCTACTACAGCGAAGAAAGTCGTATAAGTAAAATGTTTATGGCCGTCTTTCATTTCGGAAATGATTACCTATGTTATAAAAGCGGCGCTAACAGAGAAACTTTGGAAATAAAAGTGAGACTGAATGTTGGGAAAGATTTAATTGACAACTAAAAAACCTTGATTTGAATTTGATTGTTTTTGTAATTAACGTGTTTAATTAAATGTCAAACTTTACTTGGTGATCACGTGTCGTGGGTGTCAGTTAGTTTTTGGCGGGAATTTTGATTTTTGGTTTTGGGTTGCGTAGTCGCTTCCCGACTGAGCCGGGGTTATTACAAGTATTATCGTATTACTGTACTGCCGGGTTGTGGACTGACCTGACGATCTCTTGACTACCTATTAAAATTACTATTTAAGCCGACGTTTTAACCTAAAGAGAAACACAACTTAAATTTTCGATTTATCAATCTTTAGATGGGCATATCTTGGGAACTATTGCACCTGAAAAATTGGAGATATCCTCAAATTGTAGAACTTTAAAAGCGCCTCTAACTAGCCTCCCACCTTTCCGTGTGATTTTTTATGATTTCCAAATATTTCAAGATTTTTCGAGTGCCCTTTGGGTAGTTCATGTCTGTCGAAGGTACAAAATTGGTTTCACATTATTGGTTGATAGCCTAACAACATTCAAAAATAAAATATTGTGTGTGAATTTGTTGTCTACAGTCTACAGTCAGGGTGGGCTATAAATAGTGTATCTATGTTGAAATAAATACCTTTTGAGTTTTAGGGTTAAATGATTTCAATGTAACATGTGACTCCTTTGCTACTTAAGAACCAGTACCATACTATTGATAAATCTCGATCTGATTAAGATCATAGGAAACTGTTGGAACAATTGTTCTTGTTCACATAGTGGAGGTGCTGGTCTCTAAGAAGCGCGGAATTGCAAAGACATTTAATATTATACGTACCATCATCCATAATAGCTGTCGTCACATTTTTTCCCGTAACGCCTTGCGCCCATGCCGCTTCCACATTTAAATCTAATTTGGCTTTACCGCCATTTTGACCCGTATTCTTTAAATACCACTGATACGAGAAATATGGATCGGTTGGGTCCCTGTGCGGCTGTATACTATCAACTAAATTTTCTACCCGCATCGGTTTGTACCCTCTTTTCACTCTAATAAACCCTGGTTGTTGAATTACGGTGTGCACCTAAAACAATTAGTCGATTTAATAAATAAACACGAAACGGAATCGCATTGTGTCAATATTCTGCCGATTTGTAGTAATCATATCTCTGATGTGAGGGGGGTGGGCGTTTATTCCTAAGCCAGGCTAATTGTTTGCAACAGATGCTTGCTACAGGGAATGTTTGTGCTTTTGTTTCGGGGCGAATTTATATTACTTCTCAGGTGTACAATCCCAACTATTTGCCGACCCTTTTGTTCACCAGATGTTACAATTTCTGTGCGATGTAATAATTTTCTTTTTGTACTCATTGAATGGAAAGATAATGTTTCCAAGCATCCTCGATGCACGGGAAAACGACTTTCCCGAATCGCGGTGTTTTTTAGTTCCCGCTGGAGAGAAGGGGTTATGCGCGTTCTTCGGTTGGTAGTACTTATTGAAGTCAACGAACGTCATGTCATGGTTAACTGTCATCTGCTGTAAAATCAATTAAACCGTTGGTTGAGAGTACCTATTTAGTGCGATTAATCGGAAACAGACGTACACTAAGTTTTACGTAAATATATAAACAAGAACTTATAACGCAATCAAATTATTTTTCAGAATTGGAACTCAAGAAAAAGTAAAATTTATTGTTAAAACGTCTTAAAATGTGACCAGTGATATTCTGCAACTATTCGCATATGCAGTTTAAGAAAGCACATATTAACACACACAAAGCTTCCAAGGATTTTAAATGTAACGAGTGTATTTACGCAACTCAAGATATTCAGTGCAAACGATGCAATGCCGTGACCAGTAGCACTCATTGCAAAGGCAAAATATGTATTAACCAAAGATGTGGAAGTTTTAAATGTGACCAGTGCATTATTAAAAGTGGGTAGTTACAAAATTATGTTACCAACCAAACATATGATTGTGTTACCAACTCATGATTAAAAAAAAGCTAATTTACAAAACTTTATTAATTTTGACCTTTTTTTACGTAATTCGTTACAAAAAATATTGTACCTAACTCTTTCGGAAAGAATTTTCCCGCATTCGCACTAAATGCAGCACTCCCTCCGGTCGTGCTGCAAACAAAGTGCTCATGCGGGAAAATTAACTTACCGAACTTGTTAGGTAAATAACTATTTTATATTACCTAAGTAAGTAAACGTTTGCTCTCTTACAGACTATAATAATTTTGCTTTTATTTTGGCCAATGTGCAGATTTATTGTACCTATTTCATTAAACCTTTTTCATAAAAGAATGGTTCTCGTGGGCCGTGGCTCGTGTTATTTCCTTCGCGCTATTTCGGTAGTAAAGTAAATAGTTACTAATAAATAAGGGTTTTAATAAAGTACCTACTACATTCCTAAGCAATCTAGAATTCTAGACGAGAGCTTTGATGTAGCAGATATACAGAGTGGTGACTTGCGTCACGCATCATAGGGATTTCATTGTAAAATTCATAACATATGCGATTATTGGCTCCCCAAATTATTTTATACCAAAAATGTATTACCTAAGGTTTTTTGTAGGACAAATTTTTTTACGTCAATCAAGCGTATTAGTTTTCAATTTTTTGCATAATAAAGACGGAAAATTGGAAAAATAAAACCCCCATCTTTTTCAATAATCTGTGATGCCATGGAATTTTATAATACAAAAACTACGCCGATATCCGCCATATGCCATGGAATGTCTGCTATAAAACAAATCAAATTCTATCAAAAAGTATTATATTTAGAACAGCGAATTCAACATAAAGAAAGACCAAATTACTAAAAACGGTTTCCTAATATAACAATTTTTTTATATCTTCTCACACGCTGGGTGGATATTTTAAGGTGTAACACGTGGGTATCGTAATTCAAAGACTGTTGAGGTGAATAACTACTTTATTTACATGCGGTCTCCCTTGACACACTATTGCCAACTTAAGAAATAGCACTAGCGCATACACCACACTCCTTCCCCCCGGATTGAAACTACGGCACGAAATCTTCCAAGTATTTTGGAGCCCGCCTCGATCTTTCTGGGGGCTTCTTGATCTCCACGACTTGGCTATTCCCGTTGTCCTGCTGCTGCGGTTCGCTGCAGTTGGCAGCTTCTGGTGTTGTCGGTGGAATTTCGGGATCACCCAGTGCTCCCAAACTTTCGGTCGGTTCTTCTACCCGAGCCCTAATTTGGTCGGAATGGCGGCGTAATGTTTGCCCATCTGGTGTTTGTACCCGGTAACTGACGGGTCCCGTAGTACTCACGACTTGTGCTGGCAGCCATTTTGATCCTGGTGTGAATGACCTTGTCTTCTTGTTTGGCCATCATTTCCTTACGGAAATCAGGCTGCATACGATCATAGACGGTGTTTAGCTTACGCCCCATCAAGATCTCCGCCGGTGATCGGCCTGTTGTGCAGTGTGGTGTAATGTGTTGGGCTAATAAGTATCTGCTTAAAACCAACTGTAGATTTCCTTCTGCTGTTCCCTCGGTCATTTTCCGGATAGCGTTTTTTACATTTTGCACCATTCTTTCCGCTTGCCCATTACTGCTCGGATGGTATGGTGCCACTAAAGCTTGTCGAATCATGTTGTTTTTCAGGAACTGCTTAAATTCGGAAGAGCTGAAACTCGTTCCATTGTCGGATACGACAACATCCGGTATGCCGTGGGTGGCGAACAATTCTCGTAGCACCCCGATTGTAACAGCACTCGAGGTATTTGGCACTAGTTTTACCTCGAGCCATTTGGAATAGGCGTCGGTCACTACCAGAAAAAGTTTTCCTTTCATTGGTCCGGCGTGATCAATGTGGATACGCGACCACGGAGCTCTAGCCCACTCCCAAGGATGAATAGACGACTTCCTCGGCATGTTTCTCGTTTCTTGGCATTCTTTACACAACCCAACCAGCTTCTCAATTTGCTTGTCAATATTCGGCCACCATACGTACGAACGCGCGAGAGATTTCATCTTGACGATACCTGGGTGAGCTGAATGGAGCATTTTTAGCACCGTGTCCCTCACCCCTAGTGGAACGATAACCCTGGTGCCCCACAGGAGACAATCTTGGTAGCAATTTAGCTCATGTTTGCGTTGTAAGTAAGGAGTAAATTCGTCTGGCAATTTTTTCCCGTTGTCAGGCCATCCCTTCCAGATCCACTGCATAACCCTTGATAAAACAGGATCTCGTTTGGTTTCCTGGGCAATTTCTCTGGCGCTGATTAGCTTTTCTGGAATGTTTTCCAGCATTAAGACGTCTTCAGATGGCGGAGGTTCTGGAACCTTGATTTTTTGGGGCAGTCTGCTTAATGCGTCCGCATTCTGGATCTTAGCTCCTGGCACGTACCTTAGTTCGTAGTCGTACGCAGATAGCATTAGTGTCCATCTTAGCATCCTAGGTGATAGAATGTCTGGAACCCCCTTCTTCGGATTGAAGACTCCCAATAAAGGTTTGTGGTCCGTTGTTATTGTCACCCCTCGGCCGTAGATGTATTCGTGAAACTTTTTAACACCCGTGATGATAGCGAGTGCCTCCTTGTCGATTTGAGCGTATTTCCTCTCAGCTGACGACAAAGAACGGCTGTGATACGCTACTGGAACGTCTCGCCCCCGGTCGTCCAACTGACTAAGAACGCAACCTACCCCATACGGACTCGCGTCGCAAGTCAAAAATAAGTTTCTCCGGTCATTGTAGTGAGCCAGCACGGGCTCCCTGATTAAGCAATCCTTTAAAGCTTGGAAAGCCTCTCGTTCTGACGTTCGCCATTGCCATTGAGCGTTCTTTTGAAGTAACGCATGTAAAGGTTTAGCGATGGTCGCTTTGTCCTTCATGAACACGTGATAAAAATTGACCAACCCCAAAAATGCTTGTAATTCTGTCACATTAGTTGGAGGAGGCGCGTTTACTATTGCCGCGATTTTATCTTTCGTTGGGCGAATACCGTCTTCGCTTATTCTAAACCCGAGGAATTCAATGGATTTTGTACGAAAAATACATTTTTCCCGGCGCAATTGTAGCCCGTCTTCACGAAATTTCGACAGTACCGTGCGCACTTTAGTGTCTAAATCGTCATCGGAACTTCCCACGACTAGTATGTCGTCGTAGTACGGTAACCCTCCCGAGATCCCCGCCAGTCTCATGTCCATGAATTTTTGGAATATCTGAGGCGCGACGGAAATTCCGAATTGCAAACGATTGCATTTAAAAGCCCCCTTATGCGTTATTATTGTCTGTGCTTCCGCAGCCTCGCGATCGACACTCAACTGTAGGTAAGCCTGGGCTAAATCCAATTTAGCGAACACTTTCCCGCCAGCGAGCGCGGATAAAATTCCTTGTACCGACGGCACCGGGTACGGTTCAGGACGTAATGCGCGGTTAAGTGTGGACCTGTAATCTCCGCAAATTCGCACCTCCCCATTGCCCTTGCAAACGGTAACGATAGGGGTGCCCCACCTTGGATATGAGATTGGTTCTAGCACTCCTTGACTTATCAGTTTGTCCAGTTCCCTCTCTATTTTGTCCTTTAGAGCGAAAGGAACCTTACGCGCTCGCAATAGAATCGGCTTCACAGACGCGTCTACCGAAAAACTTACTGGAGGCCCCCGGTATGCGCCCAAATTCCCGCAAAATACCTCAGGATATTCGCGTGCGTAATTAGGAGTACCGTCAACGTGACTTACCCCGGAAACAGTTAGACCCAGCTCTTGGAACCAGTTTCTGCCTAAAAGACTCGGGCGGTTTCCTTCGGTGATGATTAACGGAAGGGTTGACCTCCGTGAACCTCGACGCACCTCCACCAAACATTCTCCCACTGTTGGTATCGGGTTGTTTTGGTAGTCTCTTAAGATAACATGACTCTTCTTCAATTTCAGGTGATTCCCGTTCGAGATTTTTTGGAACAACGATCGGCCTATAATCGTATAGCCAGCGCCCGAATCCACTTCCATTTTTGTCTGTATCCCGTTGACTGAAACGGCTGTTAAATATTTACCGGAAAATTTGTCAGGCGTTACGTTATTTATTGAAAAAACGTAATCACTATTAACGCAATTCGGGTCCGGAGAAATTTCCGGCTCCTCCGTGTAAGGGTCGCTGTCATTTGCAATGTGCACTTTAAGTTTGTTTTGGCTTTCTCTTTTCTTTTTGAAACACGCGATTGCGATATGTCCTAATTTTTTACAGTAACTACAAGTTGATTGACTGTGAACGCACGAGTCTGCAGCGTGGTCTTTTTCACATCGAAAACACTTTTTCCCAACGCGCCCCGGTCTGCTCGCGCGATCAGCTGATTTTACTTGCTTGCGTGAATTAAGGGCATTAACCTCCACTCGATCGCCGCTGCCCCCTTCGCGAATCATTGCAAAACTGGTCGTAGCAGTTTCGTGAGCTACGCACATTTTTGTTACATCCGCTAATTTTAAATCGGTGGTAGCAAGTAATCTTTTCTGTAATGTCTCATCGATTATTCCACAAACTATTCTGTCACGTAACATTGTGTCTAAAGTAGCCTCAAATCCGCACGGTTCGGCCAATTTACGTAATTCCTTAAGGTATACGGGGAATGTCTCCCCATTTTGTTGATCCCGTCTGTAGAATTTGAAACGGTAAACAATCTCCGATGTCTTCGGAGAGAAATGTGTACCTAATTCCTTTATAATTTCCCCGTACGTTTTATCAGCGACTTTCGCCGGCGCGACCAATGACCTAAGAATTTCGTACGTTTCTGGGCCGCATAGGCTCAAAAATGTCGCGCGTTTCTTACTTGCATCCGCAATCCCATTTGCCGTGAAAAAGAATTCCATTCTTTCCACATAAGATTCCCATTGTTTAGGATCACTTATTGAAAAATGTTCGATGCTACCCAGGGAAGCCATCGTTTTTGTTACTCGCGAATTCTGGAAACACAAGTAAACAGTAAATTGTCACAAAACGCACTTCCTTATCCCATCCTCGTCGCCAGTTTTATATCTTCTCACACGCTGGGTGGATATTTTAAGGTGTAACACGTGGGTATCGTAATTCAAAGATTCAAAGACTGTTGAGGTGAATAACTACTTTATTTACATGCGGTCTCCCTTGACACACTATTGCCAACTTAAGAAATAGCACTAGCGCATACACCACAAATTTACAATAAATGTTCGAATAAGTCACCATTAACTGCAAGACATAGGTAACCAAGTCGATCATAAAATCCATTTCGAACTGCTGCTAATTGATAACTGGATATCTTTTAGTTTTAGAAAATTCCATGGCATCGCAGATTGAAAAATATGCGGGTTTTATTTTTCCAATTTTCCATCTTTATATGAAAAAAATTGAAAACTAATACGGTTGATTGGCGTAAAAAAAAATTTCTACAAAAAACCTTAGGTAATACATTTTTGCTCTAAAATAATTTGAGGAGCCAATAATTGCATTTTATGAATTTTACATTGAAATCCCTATGATGCGTTACGCAAGTCACCACCCTGTATTAGTAATATATCTGATGTGGATGTACTATATAATCAAAGGACGAGTCTAAAGGACAGAAAAGCTGGTACCTATACCTACTCATGTCTTTGTGCAAAGTAATAAAATTGTTTGGTTAGTATTCGTTTGTGGATGAGTATTAATCGTGATTATAGAAAAAAAATCGTCAAAAAGAAGTGCACATTTTGCATTAGGTACATTCCCTTACTCTCGCCAAAGCATGGGGTTTCAGGGGTGGTATACGGTAAAGGTAACATTGACACGGTTTGATCTCCAAATTATTTGTTGGAAGTTTTTGTGTTGCTCGTTTGAAGCTTGGCTAATAACTATAGATAACTACTCACCAAAGGATCGACCTTTAACCGTCGAGTATGTGTTATACTCCTTTTAACTCTGGGGGAAGGAAGAGTGTGACTAACAAAATGATATTCATTTTGAGCTCCCAGAATCTGAAACAAAAACAATTGGTAATTATCAAATTCCCAACTAGCTATGCACGCATTCTACCTAAACTAATTGTCGCAATTTAGTATTCATAAAATTTGTTTGCAGGACCGCAGTCATGAAAGGATTATTCCTTCTGCCTACGGCTGGGTCTTCCCTCTGCGTCATTAGAATATCAGATTGCAATACGCACAGCTATTCACAAGTAGGTAGTTGACATTCGTCGTAACTTTTAGTTGCAGGCACCGAATCGATGACTATTATTTGGGCAAGTCTCGTTTACTTAAATACAAGAAGCGTAAATAATGTGATCAACAATAGAATATGTTGTAACATATCGGGTACATTATGGCGCATGGCACGGGAATCATTTTTAGGCTTAACTGCTTATGGCCGTTTGTACCGACAAATTTAAGCGGAGCTTAGCTTAAAATCCGTGGCAACCATTGTTTCAATAATCGTTGCCATGGCTTTTAAGCTACGCTGAAACTAAGCTCAAAGAAATAAACTACTCCTGGATTGAAGCTTAAAATATCATTGCGATAACAAACACAAATATGCAAAAATTAACTCTTTTTGCATATAGTACATGAGAATTGTGTGGTGGGCGGTGCTTACTGCGGGCTGAAGTACGTCACAATTGGCAGCGCGTTTTATTGGTTGTTTGAAAGTGAGGCAACGTTTAGTATACGGACCGTGGGTGCAAACCAAGGTTATTTTATGGTGCAAACGGCCATTTAAAAAGTAATAATAATAATACCGTTTATTCCTTGAGACTTGTATACAAGCATTGGAACGTCAAAATTATAAATTACAAATTATATAATTAAATTATAAATAAGTAAAAAATAAATAAAAATACACTACCTACACGTTACATTACATACCTGCAACAATTTTACTGTTCAAGTATTCGTCTAACCTATAAATGCACATCTTTACCAACATTTTTTTTATAGTTTGTTTAAACCTAGATGCATTATGGATACATTTTACGTTTTCCGGTAGTTTGTTCCAAAGTTTAATGGCAATGGCGGGAAAATGATTGGCAAATATAAGCATGGTTGAGCTTGGATATTCTCAAATTCCGCTTGTTTCTTAGATTAACATTATTAACTACCGAGTCGGGTTGATGTAGATCTTTCTTACTATGTATGAATACAAGATTGTTAAGAATAAATAAATATACAGCTGTAAGTATATTAGATTGTACAAAGAGTTCCCTACATGAATACCGTGGTTGTTTACTATGCATCATGGCTCTTAAAACTCTCTTCTGGCTAATCATTACCTCGTTCATTCTGCAACTGGTACCCCAACAAATAATACCGTAATTTTAGCAATCATGATTATAAGATGACACTTCGAAAGAACGTGATTTGACAATCCAAACGCGTTTGGATCACCGAAAGAAAGCGCCTCACATCGTATAGTTGTCGAATTAAGTAACAATGAGTAGCTAACCTCTTAATAACTATGTTTATTTGGGCATTCCAAGAGAAATTGTTGTCCAAGTGGAGTCCAAGAAATTTTATACTATCGCTTTGCCTGATAGTATGATTATTTAGTCTAATTAGGTAACTGCTATTAAGACCACCTTTTGAGAATTGAATCGCTTGAGTTTTATTCAAGTTCAAGAAAACGCCATTATCTGCACAATACCTGCTGATTTCCATGACACTCTCGTTGGCACGGCTACACAGGGTGTCTGGCTCATTACCGGTGATTATACTAGACGTATCATCAGCAAATAACGTTAAAAAACTTTTATTATTATTATTAAATATATCATTAATAAAAATAATGAATAGAAGGGGTCCCATCGTACTGCCCAACCCAAGTGGGTTCATAAGTCACCGTTTATATATAGGTTTGTCCGTTAGCCAATCAGAAGACAGTAAAATTTTAAATCGTACGCTTAGACCATATAGTACATGGACTGTTAATTGTAACTAAAATATGGTCAAGGACATCGCCTGGGTATGTGAGTTTAAGGGTAAATGAGTCTGTCGGAAGTTGTCCGCTTAGACACGATTTGAGACTGTCAAACTAGCTGTAAACCTATAAATTAAGCAACGTCACTTAATTAATCGCCTAGATATGCCAGAAAAGCAAACCTATTCTTATTTGTGGACGGATAGAAGATAACCAAGAGTATTTAATGCTTCCCGTACTACGCAGTTACTACCTATACCTAAAAGCTACTCTTTACGCGTCCCGAGTGATGTTTATACGACTTTAGTTTACCCTGAGATTCACATACCCACGACTACGGTGCCCTCTATCCGTGACCATCCATTTTGTATTGAAAGCATAGGGCTAATAGCAGTCCATGTACTATATGAGATCGTACGTCGTCCTTAGACCATATAGTACATGGACTGTTAATTGTAACTAAAATATGGTCAAGGACATCGCCTGGGTATGTGAGTTTAAGGGTAAATGAGTCTGTCGGAAGTTGTCCGCTTAGACACGATTTGAGACTGTCAAACTAGCTGTAAACCTATAAATTAAGCAACGTCACTTAATTAATCGCCTAGATATGCCAGAAAAGCAAACCTATTCTTATTTGTGGACGGATAGAAGATAACCAAGAGTATTTAATGCTTCCCGTACTACGCAGTTACTACCTATACCTAAAAGCTACTCTTTACGCGTCCCGAGTGATGTTTATACGACTTTAGTTTACCCTGAGATTCACATACCCACGACTACGGTGCCCTCTATCCGTGACCATCCATTTTGTATTGAAAGCATAGGGCTAATAGCAGTCCATGTACTATATGAGATCGTACGTCGTCCGATTACGACGGAAAAGTTGATTGAAATTGAATATTTACGTTTCCATTGGTCCGTTTTTAACAAGAGTGAGGTTATATTTATTACATTAACAGTGTTCGCCTATTGCGTTCTTCAGGGTGATAATCAGATAGCAAAGTGTTCTTCCTTTGGTACACATCTACGTACCTACTGAAGATCAGGGTGGGTATAGTTCAAAATAAAATGTAGGTTATGGTTATACATTGTAAACGTACGATGTGGACGGATTGCTATGAACCGTAAAGGTGAGTTCATAGCGCTCCATTTATCCGTTGCGTTGATCCGTCAAACGGATAGTACATTTTGTTTATTCGTAGGGGAAAAATACGAAGTTCGTATCTATGAAAAGTAGGCTATATTGTATGGCGTTATGAGATGATTTTACTCCCCTCCAAATCATATAGTGCATATCGAGCGTAAAGAAGTAGTAACTTCCTAAGTTTTAACTTTGAAATAGTTATTTACATTATTACTAGTGCGGGAACAGTTATTTTGCAGATGAGCGCGAAGTTTGGCGGCGCGAGTGCGCAACGCGCACGAGCGACGCATCTCGCGCGAATCAAGCAAATACTGTTCACGCACGTAAAATGTATTCTATTTTTTGCACGGATTAGTTAAATCGAATTTATATAAATTCAAATCCTTTTCGCGAGATTTTTGCGACATTATAATTCTTTTGAAAAAATCAAGTCCTCTATGCCGATAAAGTAGAAATCTAGAAATTTAAAATGTCAATTTATTGTTCAAAACTTCTGATTTAAGCTTATTTTTGCCCCTGTACTACAGGGAATGATGTAAAGTGTATTTATATTTTCTTTTTTACTCTTCCATCATACTACTTATTAGTTTATGATCCGCACTAAAGATAATTTCGTTGAACTTTTAGGCACTAGTGCGCGAAAGTAGATAGTCAATTGTAAAATTGACGTTCCCGACTTTCGTGTTTTATTAGGAAAACGCGATTTAGACCGAAGGAGTGCAAAAAATAAGTGTAAGCACTCTAATAATCAAATTCGGAGAAATGGTTTACTTCAGACCGAGCTTCAGACAGAAAAAAATTGTTTGAGTCTAGTAATAGTTTACAACACATACCTCAAGCGCATCTGAACCACTGGCGGTGGAACGAAAAATATTTCTGAAAAGAACATATTTACGTATTTGTATTTTGAGAAATAGAACTGGGGAAAATATCTTGATGAAACTTACTTTTCTAAAGCTATACAAACTGGTTTAAGGCCACATTCGTGGGGCATTCCTACGGCACGCGTAGACGGAAAAACTGAAGATGTGATCGGTGTAAAAAAAAGGAATGGTACCGGTAGACCAGATTCAAACCCATAGTTTAGGCGTATGTTTTGAACAGCAAGCCGGAGGGCATTATGCGTTAGACCGTGAGAGCGTCGTGGTTGCGCGGTCAGAAAATTTAATTAAGTTGGCCACCTGCAAAAGTACAACAGAGTGGCAGTATTTTGCGTCAGTTAACCCGCGGGATATACGCTTCAAGCGGCGGATGAGTTGAGAAGGCAAGAAGATTCCGCTATAAGCCACGACAGCGCACGCGTCGGCAGTAAAAAAGGAAGTCTAAATTAATCACTCGTGGGATTTGGGAATGCAGTATATACGTACTTAGGTACCTAGGTACTTTCTGAGTATGAAACATCTTTTGAAACTGGGCAAAACAAGGACTTCTTATGCTCATCGTTATAGTAGAAAGTGTAGCATTGTCATGCAGAAAGATTAAGGCATATAATGTAAGCGGCAAAGTGTTAAACGACCATAATACTATGCAGAGGTAGTCATCACAAACTTAATTGATCTCATTCAGTTTATCGCACAACAAAGTTAGATACTAATAGGGTACCTCATTACTAATTAGGGCAATGTCCATCGATATCATCAAGATCTAATAACAGTGCACATTAAATGATATCGTGACGTTGAGTTTGTACATATCTTATGTTCAGCAAATGCTTTATGATAGACAAGAGATATAGGTAGCTATTGGCTACTTAGGTACACCGCTAGTAAAGTCGAAATTTAGATTTCTCCACCCACTTTCCCTCATTTCAAATTATAACGATGGTTTCGAGTAGCGAATTAACTGTGTGCGAGCTATTTGGAAACTGACTCTGTCAAGGCATATTTGGAATAAAAGGCCTCTTCGTAAGCTAATTTATTCCACCAAATATTTTGACACAAAGACATTCCTGAAACTGAAGCGTTAAAGCTCTAAACATTTATCCCGAGATTTTATGGCACAAGTTCTTCGCCTCAATTTCATTATCGTACACATCTACTTCGTTCCTAATATAAAAGTCACTTACTTTTCCCCGTAAGAAGAAGTGACACAGCACAGTACGACAGGACTATTTTAATATGTGTCCCGAAAACGTATTTTATCCTTTATTATCCAAGTTTCCAACTGACACGTGCCGATGTCATTATTGATCGCCATGTTTCTAACGCTTTTCAACACAACACCTGTTTCCAATACATGCCTACATTCAATAGGTAGATGCAATTTATTTTACAATTCACAGGATTTCAAGTGTCAAACATACGCACCGACAAACAAAGTAATTAGGTATTACTGTATTTAAATGATGATGATAATCCTTTTATGTTTGAAGTGAGCGAGGTTGCAGGTGGTACTGATCTCCCAAACTAATCCGCTTAGCAAACTACTTATGAACCTGGGTTCGAACCAAGTAGCCAAACATCTACCCTTCGAACCCCATTCGACTCTCATAAGTGTAGGTTGGTGTAGGTACCTATACGTGGGGACAGCTTGCTATCGCGCGATGGGCCCTGGATGCTTTTGCGATGCGAGGAATTCAAACCTCTGAACTTGAATGCATGTTTATTCCGGCAACTTTTTTATTCGGCGCGATGCGTGTCTATGCTACTTACGGCGATGGGTTAAAATTCAAGCAACTTTGATTTGATAGCCAGGGCCCTATTCTTGACTTTACGTACTTATCAAGGTCATTGGTTTTTTTTAACCAAAACGATGAACTTTTGGTCGAACGAATGGTATTCTTGACCGTTCGAGAATTTTTTGAATTCGTTACAACGAGCGGTATAAACCACTCGCAAGCGACGCTGACTTTATTTTATTCTGAATATAATTGAATGTGAATGTGTCCAGTGTCATCCGAAAATAAACACGACTTCATATTGATGGTATTTGGTATTTATCATTTTTGTCTGGTTAATTTGGATACTACAGTAGGTATATTTTAATAGAGCAGTGCCGTCGAAGTATCGTCATTGTGCTGTGCATAGAACAGCGGCTAACATGCGACTACTTTCGTAAATATGGCCCTAGAGGGGGTCCGTGAAGTTAGCAGCACATTGAAGGCACAAATGTCGAGACTAGGTGGGTTGGTTAGTGCTTCGTTTGTGCCGGTTTGTGCCGTAAAAAGTTTGCCAGCAAAACATACCGTTTGGAAATTATTTCGACTTTTAGAGGTTCTGCTAATAGGCCAGTCATTGAGGATTTTTACCTGGAAGTAACTCGGGAAGTACAGAAATTTTGTATGCTTGAGTGCGTAGAACTAAAATTCATAAAATGCACAATTCTAAACTTGCCGCCGGGGCCGCCATCTTACCAAGATGGCCGTCAAAAGCGGTTTTCCGCCGATATCTCCAAAACTGTGCATTTTACGAGAAAATATGTGGTGAGCAAAATTAAAGAGACGAAAATTTCCTACAAAAAATGTAGTTAGCATATTTCCACTAAAGTTAGCCCTTGCGCAGAAAAGCAGAAATTTTTAATAACCAATGGCGTGTATTTTATCAAAATAATTCATTAATCATGTAATTAATTAATCAAATTGATTAATCATTAGTCTATGATCAATTAATTTTAACATTAGATTCTCTATTTACCAAGGCCTGACGGACCTGGCGGTTATTGTCACTGTTTTCATTGCTGAATACGTTTATCCCTATTTCGGGATCAACGTTGGCTTCTTTGAATTCGTCGGATTCTCCTTCTTCAGTCGATAAAGGAATATCGATAAGTAGTAATATATAGCCGCTACGAAATCTCACTAGATGAAAATCCCTAGAAAAGTCACTAGAATTGAGTGGTTCTGAACTGTGGTAGCGAGGTTTGCGCTTGTGCTAACGTCAAGGTCAAGGGGTTGAGGTTTGTGCTCAAGATAAAGTATCAGAGGTTTGCGTCCGAGCTAAAGTAAGTCGGTTTGTGCCTGACGGTTCTTGTCGATGGTAGTGTACGGCCGATTCTAAATCTCACTAGATGAAAATCCCTAGAAAAGTCACTAGAATTGAGTGGTTCTGAACTGTGGTAGCGAGGTTTGCGCTTGTGCTAACGTCAAGGTCAAGGGGTTGAGGTTTGTGCTCAAGATAAAGTATCAGAGGTTTGCGTCCGAGCTAAAGTAAGTCGGTTTGTGCCTGACGGTTCTTGTCGATGGTAGTGTACGGCCGATTCTAAATCTCACTAGATGAAAATCCCCTAGAAAAGTCACTAGAATTGAGTGGTTCTGAACTGTGGTAGCGAGGTTTGCGCCTGTGCTAATGTCAGGGGGGTCGAGGTTTGCGCTCAAGATAAAGTATCGGAGGTTTGCGCCTGTGCTAAAGTTAAGGTCAAGGGGGTCGAGGTTTGCGCTCGAGATAAAGTATCGGAGGTTTGCGTCCGAGCTAAAGTAATTTGGTTTGCGCCTGAGTCGAGAGTAATATATGACCGATTCTAAATCTCACTAGATGAAAATCCCTAGAAAAGTCACTAGAATTGAGTGGTTCTGAACTGTGGTAGCGAGGTTTGCGCCTGTGCTAACGTCAAGGGGGTCGAGGTTTGCGCTCCAGATAAAGTATCGGAGGTTTGCGTCCGAGCTAAAGTAATTTGGTTTGCGCCTGAGTCGAGGGGTATTGTCGATGGCAGTGTACGGGTGATTCTAAATCACACTAAAATCCCCCTAGAAAAGTCACTAGGATTGAGTGGTTCTGAACTGCGCTAGCGAGGTTTGCACCTGTGCTAACGTCAATGTCAAGGAGTCGAGGTTTGTGCTCGATATAAAGTATCGGAGGTTTGCGTCCGAGCTATTTGGGCTGGAGGTTTGTTGTCAGGTGACGGTGAAGTTTCAAGGTCGTTTAAGGCAATTTGATCGTGGTGGTTTACTTCCGGGGTAGGATAATTTGATCGGGGCCTTCAAGTAACTAGGTTTGTATATGTGCTGCGTGGGTTCGAATGTGTTGCTTGTACGGTTCTGGACTGGGGTTTGTAAAACTAGTAAAGCTACTCTCAATAATGTAGGACTGAAATCACACTAAGTTGCTTTCGGGGTTTGCGTCCGGGCTAACAATTCTATCTCCTGTCAATCACCGTGCAGAAATCTATTACTGTAGATTTCAAGGCCACACTTTGGAAATATAAGGTGAGCTGCAGGGCGTTTTTTCATTCAGTCCGATAGTGCTTTCCAAACAGTTAAAAAATGGATCTTAATGCGCTCAACAATGAAACATTCTGTAAAGCATTTAAGAACGTTAAGGATATGGAAGTGGAGGAAAAGTTTAAAATTCTGAATATCGATATCATAAACACAAAGTATGGTGACCGAATAGTACTGGAAACAGAAAATTATAAATGCGTACTACCACTGCGGTTCTACGAGTATTTCAAAGTAGGTAATCGGCTGAGCGAGTTCCAAGAATCCTTGAAGACAAACGAGGTGTTCATTACAAGTGCAGGACCGTCAGGAAAGACCACAAACTTAAAATTTATGTAAACATTAGCTATTTTTGAAAAAAGATTATGTAAATAGTGTTGTAAATAAAACCATTAGACTACAAATAATCGTGTTTCATTAAGAAAAGAAAAAATGCCATCTCTGGTCATCCTTTGAATTCCATCCCGCCTCTTGTGTTGAAATATGTAGTTTGCGCTGCAATCCCCTCGAAGGTGTAGGTTGCGAATATCCCTTGGATCGTTAAATGGGCTCCAACCACAACGTACCTTTGGTGCGGAAAAACGACGAAGGGCATCGAGAGAGATTCAAGTTGTTTTGCGTCCCTGTAATCAATAATTCGCCCGTTACGATAAAGTTTCAACCATGGGCTCCACCTGAGCTGTTGGTAGTGGAGGCAGTGTAGGTGATCTCATCGTTTCCAGCAATTTGAGGGATTATTTTCAACTTTAAAAAAGAAAATTGGAGAATGAAAAAAAATCGTTTATTGAAGGTACTAACCCACCAGGCAAACAGAAAATCTGTAGCAAATCCTCCTTCTAACCGCGCTACGGATGTGTGTCCACTAAATTTTCTGTTCTGTAAAAACAAGAAAACAATTACTTTTAACGTAGTATCTACATGCCCCAACTCAAAAGGTATCAGAGTAATGTTGTATACTTACACAATCGTGGGGCGAATTGATTGTGATGACACGGGCATCTATTTCAATGGAATCCCATTTTGATACGAATTTACCTAAGAGACACCGCGTTGTTTACCACAGCGTTTATTTCTGGAGCCAACGCCAACGTGTCGTTGATAGCCGTTGTTGATCGACAGGTGGCTTTAGAAATGTTTGTTGCGAAATTTTCGCGCCCGATGCTCGAAACGTTGAGAATTTTCGTGATGTCATATTGTGTGTGACTCGCGCGCGCACTTTACGTTTAACTATAGTAAATAGGAGGCAAATTGCGATCGTAGCGGAAAACTAAAGACGGAACGTGTAACGAGTGAGAAAACGATACATTCTTTGTTTTAGATCTGAAATGCATACTCCCATTTCCAGGAATAACGGTCGGAAACAAGGGCGCTTTGTTTTTTTGAAAACGCCTTACGCGGTAAAATACGTCAAGGAAGTCACCTATTTATTCTTTAGGATATCTAGGTAAGTAGTTTTGGTTAAAATCAAATAAAACATGTCTCGTTAGGGTAATTAATATTGGACGTACCTACTAGCATTTCGTAATATATATTCCTCATTAGAAATAGTGGTTTCGGAGAACTAGAATACAGTTTCGCATTTTGCGGTAGCCCTTCATACGAAATAAATTTTAAATTGGTTTTTTTTTTTCGTAATACCTATCTGTCTATAAAGCGCAGTTGGCCAGTTAGCTGTTAGCGGAACATCAAAAAACAATGACAGGATTTTGCGAGTCGTTTGTTTTTTGTCAAAAAGTTGGAAGAGTAATTTTTTCCCCATCACCTTTTAATTAATCATTACTTCGCGAGAATGCTTGCAATAGTTAAGGCAGTAAAGAAATGCAGCAGCAGCAGTTAGATAAGCACCTTTTCCATTAGCGTTTAGTGGGGGCATTTGCCTATATATACGTAGGTACTTATGCACCTACATCGCGTTTTCCTTGTTCTTGTATAAAGGGCACTACATTGCTCGGGGGAAAATTTCCAAAAAGCAAGGATATAATTTACGTGTGGCTGTAATTGGTTTCCACGAATTGCTTATCATTGAGAATCTATTTTGTAGACATACAACTACGTATGGAACTAAATAAGAGTAGGTACGTATAAGAGGGTAAATACGAATATTAGTAAATCTTCATTTACAGTAGGTAAACCGGCAAGTTGCGCTATAGGTATAATTGGTAAATTAGAAAAGTATACCAAAGAAAAATTGTATAGCGCGCTTGCACTTTGGAATCTAAATCGAATACATTCCCCCCCGGACCCTGCAGGTGTTGAAACAAAGACGTCTGTTGCAAGCATCATGTAGCAGCTCATCCCTCTTCTCTCCGCTAAAGACACTGGTTGAAATTTTCCATTAGTTCATTCGCGTCTCTCTTCTTACATACGTCATGGCGAAAAAGTACCCAAACCTTACAACCAAAAACCGGAAATGCAAAGGAAGAGTTTACAAAAAAAACGGCAACCAAATTAACAACAACAGTCCTTAACTAAAATAATGCGAGGACTGCAGAAAAACGCAGTGGCAGTGCACCCCCGGCGACCTCCCCGCTTCCCCCCGGTATTATACGAAGGACGACGATAATTTGAATCTAATAATTAAAAAATTTGGTCAACTATTGCGGAAGTAGGTACAAACTGTTTTATATTTCTCTCCCACCCCTACTATTTTTGCGCACGCATGTTAAAAATAATAACTTGTTTACAGTAAATATGGGGGAACATTTCGAGTAGGGTCATAGCACAGCTGATAGAATGGAGTTGCTGCTGCATATTTTCTTTTTGCATAGCTTTATCACTTTGGGATACCAGCACCATCGCATGCCTTAAATTAACTTCAATTAATATCTACTCAGGTGGTGTGGAACCAATCCTACGAATGTACCGTAAGTTTTTGTGGAAATATTTTGTAGAACCGTAACCGATGATTGATTACAGTCACACAACCACATCAACAACCCTCGAGCGGCAAAGGTCAAGAAGACCTAATGAAAAGCGTCAGCCTACTTTTCGGCTCTGGAAGCGACCGACCTGTAAGGAACTGGCGCACAAGACCTACGGGCGGGCCTAAAAAATATGGATACCGCTGCAAACTGGTGGATGCGCAAACCGTCGACAAAACAACTGGACTCTTCCAAAAGGGAGGCGCTTGGAAAAAAGGATTTTCAATTTGTTGAAGAATTTCTTAAGTTCACTTTTAAAATATATTTATATTGAAAGATGTAAATTAATAGCTTTGTTATGCAACCCAGAATGCAGAAGCGAGCTAGTATGGTTGCAACACTGCATCCGACATTTCGCGAAGATGCAGTTAATGCAACTAAACACAGTATCATACTTTTCCGAATGCAGAATGGGACTGTCACTAGTGTGGTTGCATAATCACAGTTGCATCCGAGCATATATTGTGCGTATGTTCTATCCATGATTTCATAAATATTTTAAGGTGGATAACCGACTTCAATAACTCCTTGCCCCCTACAAATAAGTCTTCATGAGTGCTGATAGGATGGCGCAGAAATTTAGCATGAAGAAAAAAAAAGGATGTGCATGAATTATTTAAAAAATAAACTGTATATAAGAAAGCTCTCTTAACGGCGCCCCCCCCCTATAACATTTCCTATAATAGCAAAACAATTTCTTACACCCCTAAGATAAACATTCCCAAAAGTAGTAGATTACATACCGAGGTGGGAAGTGGTTCATTACCTACGCCGAGAGGCTTTGGGCAATTATTTTGAGGAATATAATATGAGGTACCCGTGACATCCACGCCTGTCGGTCAATGAATTATTTTTATTTGTTACTCAGTTGTAAACGTTGATTAACAAGACAAAACGCAAACGGGTAAACGTCATCTTTAAACGCTACTGACTTGTAAAACTGACAGCTGACGTGTAAAAATTTTACAAGTTAGTAATCTAGTAATTTCATTGGCCAGAATTAATGCGAAGTCTCGGTTACATGGATAATATGATATTTTAGAAATTTCTTCGAGATCAATTTAAGAACTAATTATTTACGTTTACCAATGAGTAACAAATAAAATATTGTACATTATACGCCAGGTAATAGTTTTTACTGGCTCTAGGAGATGACAGGCTCGCCTGACGGCTCGCCAGTCAACTTCTCCTATCGCCAGTAAAAACTCACTTACCTGGCTAATAATGTAAAATACTATTACATTACAGTATACATATAAGCAAAAGTACCTATACCTCGTTTTGGTCTAAGATTTTGGTATTCAACGTTACAGATTCTATTTTCCCCTAGACACTACAAAACTAATTAGAATTACGGTTGGGGGCCTTTTCGGTAATGTGCTTGGCGTTTGAAATTCGCACCTTTGTAAATCGTATCGACGTAGCAGTGGAGTCATGCTATTTAGAGAACTGGAAACGGAAGAGGTGACAGGTGAATAGATTGAGGCTGTGTATATTTATGAGATCCTCATTTTTGGCAGTTGTAATAATTCCACCACCGCTGCCGAGGGCTCCTTTCTGCGTAAGAGGAACCCGCGCTACCCGAATTTGTTTGCCGTTGATACAATTCCTTTCGGAATAACTGAGGCAGTTCACATATAACAAGCGCCAATCATCGCAGTCAACCACTTTCAAGGTTACGGGTTGGAAATATAAGCTATAGCGATGCTTTCAATCAGTACAGTAGTGCTAGTAGTCCAGTAGTACCTATAGTGCTCGCAACAGTTGGTGAATCAATAGCAGAAAATGGTTATTGCTATTGACGTTCAAGGATTTAAAACATCCACAACGACATTTACGCCAAAGGAGGTGGCGGTATTTAATGGGCACCAAGTTGCACATTTTGTGTTCAAACCTCCATTTTCATTTAGCAGCTTAGATGTGAACTACCAGAGACAAGCAATCTGGCTGATGCACAACCACCATTGTATTAAATGGGAAGAAGGACATACACCGCCCCACTTATTTCCGATATACTTCGCCGGCTAGTATCACCAATGGAGGCTATATATGTGAAAGGAAAGGAGAAGGCAGAATTTATACGAAAAACCTTATCGCAGGATGTCGTCGAAATCAACGAGGAACCTGCATTACCTAAATTGGAAGCCAGCTGTTTATATCATTCCTATCCAAAATGTCATTGTGCATTGGCAAACGTGTATTACATACATAACAATTATACAATGTCGTAATTGTTTAGTAAATAAAGCGATCAAAGTTTAACATTTATTCTTTCTCTTAATACCCTATAAATAAGGATGCCTATGTGCAAAACGATCGTTTCAGAAAAGGTTTCGATCACTATGTATAATACCTACCGTGAAAACGTGCTTATTTTTCAGTTGAAAAAACACGGTTATCAAGTACCTATACCTACAGCTTTCAAAATAAACAGATAAACAGGTAAACAGATAAACAGGTAAACGGATAAACAGGTAAACAATATCTGTTTTTTTAAATAAAGCTGTTTCTGTTATAGCTGTTTATCTGTTTACCTGTTCAGTTGTTTACTAGTTTATCTGTTTACCAGTTTATACGTTTGGCCTTCTGTAAAAATAGCTATGTTTATCCTACTCAATTTAAGAAGCATGTATGTCTTAACGTCAATTATTTGCATTCGTTTTCCTAGCAGCTGAACAGCTGAACAGCTATAACAGCTGAATAGCTATAACAGCTGAACAGCTATAACAGCCGAACAGCTATAACAGCTTTATTGGTGAACAGACCCTGTTCCAGTTGATCTGTTTTTTGATATCTGTTTACCTGTTCCGTTGATCATGGATAATAAAGAGATGGCTTTGAAACGACGAATAGTTCAGGCGCGTAAAACGATACAGCAAAAGTACGATCGTCTCAAAGCGGATCGTTTTATTAAACAAGTGGAATTTGTACGAACGTATAAACCGCTAATTCAACCGCTAGCTCAGATAGTAAAGAAAATCGAACCGCTGCTATCATCGGTTATGGAAACGAAAAAGGAGGAGCCATCAGAGGACGAAGTATTTACATCACCTCCCAAAAAACGTCAATCTCCTGCAAAAAGAAAGTCACCACAACAACGTACGACTCCTGCGATACCTTATTAATCGCGAGTGAGACGAAGGCCCTCTTCCCTTACCGAGATCAGTCCGCTGACTAGACTTCCCTACTTTCAAAATTATCCGCCAACTGATATTAGTCCTATGGTTAGACCTTTTCACCCCACGGCTACTCCATCATTGAGACAGCCGCCATCATTTCTACAGAGTACAGTGATAGGAGAGCATCAACCGGAGGAAGAAGAAGAAGAGTCCTCTATTGTATCAGAATCATCTACTTCATTACTTGATATGCAAGGTTCGCAAGCCTTTTTTGAACAATACAAACACCTACCACGTATATACGTCGAGCGCATGATAAGAGATACGAGCAATGCAATCGACACCACTTTTGGAATTCATTATAATGTCGAAACGGATAAGTGGAGAATGGGCAAGACGGAGGTGACGATAGATGACGAAGGTTTGGTCATTAACGGGAACCGGTACAAAGGTACTGCAGGGCTATAAGAAACTTATCATCATGAATGAACCGGATGAATCGCTGGTATCCAAGCAGGATAGAGTAACTATAAGCAGATAATAATAGCAACTCATGTCGCACGGCGCAATTACGACCCCACCGAACAGATTCGTGGTAATACGAGCAAATTATACCTTACGCTAAACAGAATAAAGGCTACAAATACATACTGGTAGTTATCGATTGTTTCTCAAAATATCTGTGGACGAGAGGACTGAAGACTAAAACGGGTGAGGAGGTGACAAAAGCCATACAGGATATTTTCAAAACTACAAGACGTAGACCGAAAAATCTACAGTCCGATGCGGGGAAGGAATTCTATAACAAATCATTTGACAAATTGATGGCGCGAGAACATATTAATCACTATTCCACGTACAGTACAAAAAAGGCTGCCATAGCCGAAAGAACAATTAGGACAATCAAAAATTATTTATACCGTCAGTTTAGTCTACGTGGAAAATATGTATGGATTGATGCAATTGAATCAATCACGAGCGAGTATAATAATCGTAAACATCGAACAACGGGGATGAAGCCGATCGAAGTAAAGGCCGATACACAGCTGAAGGCCTACAGCCACATCAAGCTCTTCAACAAGAGACATCGTTTTAATGTTGGCGATGTAGTTCGAATTAGTAAGCACAAGAGTGTGTTCGCCAAGGGATATACTCCGAACTGGTCCAGTGAACTGTTTAAAATTGCAAAAGTGTAAATAACCAATCCGGTGACGTACTTGCTGGAAGACATGAAAGGAAAGCCGATAATGGGAGGATTTTATGAGCAGGAACTGCAAAAAGCTAAGTATTCCGATATCTATTTGGTGGAGAAGGTGCTGCGACGTAAGAAAGATAAAGTGTACGTCTAGTGGTGGGGACTGGACGAAAAATCTTGGATAGAAAATGATAATATCGTATTGTAATTTTCGCTGTAAATTAATAAATAAAAAAAAACAAAAGCTTTTTTGATCTTTTTTTATTTTTCCTTCCAATTACCATACAACATATTTTTCATTTTTTCTAGTAGTAGTAGTAACGCTAACAAGAATATCGTACGTTTTATGGTAATCGTTCAGCAGCGGCGAGGGCCATATGCTGCTATCTGGACCACACCTCCAACCCAGGAGAGCGTTAGGATCTTGTGTACCGGTTCTTATATTTTTCAATAGCCACTCGTAGATTTTCCAATGGTGAGCATCTTGCCGTGGACTAAAATTATACCTAACATTCGACTCTTGGCAAACATCAATAAATATTTGCAGCGCATTAAAGTTTGCGTATTCTGCCACTGTGCACATAGCATCGTTAATGACATACGAACTATCCTTATACATACTACTACTAATTACATTATTTACACTATTTGCTCTTAAATCTGCGATAAAAGTTGTAAAATAAAACGATCCGCTTTGAGACGATCGTACTTTTGCTGTATCGTTTTACGCGCCTGAACTATTCGTCGTTTCAAAGCCATCTCTTTATTATCCATGATCAACGGAACAGGTAAACAGATATCAAAAAACAGATCAACTGGAACAGGGTCTGTTCCCCAATAAAGCTGTTATAGCTGTTCGGCTGTTATAGCTGTTCAGCTGTTATAGCTATTCAGCTGTTATAGCTGTTCAGCTGTTCAGCTGCTAGGAAAACGAATGCAAATAATTGACGTTAAGACATACATGCTTCTTAAATTGAGTAGGATAAACATAGCTATTTTTACAGAAGGCCAAACGTATAAACTGGTAAACAGATAAACTAGTAAACAACTGAACAGGTAAACAGATAAACAGCTATAACAGAAACAGCTTTATTTAAAAAAACAGATATTGTTTACCTGTTTATCCGTTTACCTGTTTATCTGTTTACCTGTTTATCTGTTTATTTTGAAAGCTGTAGGTATAGGTACTTGATAACCGTGTTTTTTCAACTGAAAAATAAGCACGTTTTCACGGTAGGTATTATACATAGTGATCGAAACCTTTTCTGAAACGATCGTTTTGCACATAGGCATCCTTATTTATAGGGTATTAAGAGAAAGAATAAATGTTAAACTTTGATCGCTTTATTTACTAAACAATTACGACATTGTATAATTGTTATGTATGTAATACACGTTTGCCAATGCACAATGACATTTTGGATAGGAATGATATAAACAGCTGGCTTCCAATTTAGGTAATGCAGGTTCCTCGTTGATTTCGACGACATCCTGCGATAAGGTTTTTCGTATAAATTCTGCCTTCTCCTTTCCTTTCACATATATAGCCTCCATTGGTGATACTAGCCGGCGAAGTATAATCGGAAATAAGTGGGGCGGTGTATGTCCTTCTTCCCATTTAATACAATGGTGGTTGTGCATCAGCCAGATTGCTTGTCTCTGGTAGTTCACATCTAAGCTGCTAAATGAAAATGGAGGTTTGAACACAAAATGTGCAACTTGGTGCCCATTAAATACCGCCACCTCCTTTGGCGTAAATGTCGTTGTGGATGTTTTAAATCCTTGAACGTCAATAGCAATAACCATTTTCTGCTATTGATTCACCAACTGTTGCGAGCACTATAGGTACTACTGGACTACTAGCACTACTGTACTGATTGAAAGCATCGCTATAGCTTATATTTCCAACCCGTAACCTTGAAAGTGGTTGACTGCGATGATTGGCGCTTGTTATATGTGAACTGCCTCAGTTATTCCGAAAGGAATTGTATCAACGGCAAACAAATTCGGGTAGCGCGGGTTCCTCTTACGCAGAAAGGAGCCCTCGGCAGCGGTGGTGGAATTATTACAACTGCCAAAAATGAGGATCTCATAAATATACACAGCCTCAATCTATTCACCTGTCACCTCTTCCGTTTCCAGTTCTCTAAATAGCATGACTCCACTGCTACGTCGATACGATTTACAAAGGTGCGAATTTCAAACGCCAAGCACATTACCGAAAAGGCCCCCAACCGTAATTCTAATTAGTTTTGTAGTGTCTAGGGGAAAATAGAATCTGTAACGTTGAATACCAAAATCTTAGACCAAAACGAGGTATAGGTACTTTTGCTTATATGTATACTGTAATGTAATAGTATTTTACATTATTAGCCAGGTAAGTGAGTTTTTACTGGCGATAGGAGAAGTTGACTGGCGAGCCGTCAGGCGAGCCTGTCATCTCCTAGAGCCAGTAAAAACTATTACCTGGCGTATAATGTACAATATTTTATTTGTTACTCATTGGTAAACGTAAATAATTAGTTCTTAAATTGATCTCGAAGAAATTTCTAAAATATCATATTATCCATGTAACCGAGACTTCGCATTAATTCTGGCCAATGAAATTACTAGATTACTAACTTGTAAAATTTTTACACGTCAGCTGTCAGTTTTACAAGTCAGTAGCGTTTAAAGATGACGTTTACCCGTTTGCGTTTTGTCTTGTTAATCAACGTTTACAACTGAGTAACAAATAAAAATAATTCATTGACCGACAGGCGTGGATGTCACGGGTACCTCATATTATATTCCTCAAAATAATTGCCCAAAGCCTCTCGGCGTAGGTAATGAACCACTTCCCACCTCGGTATGTAATCTACTACTTTTGGGAATGTTTATCTTAGGGGGGTAAGAAATTGTTTTGCTATTATAGGAAATGTTATAGGGGGGAGCGCCGTTAAGAGAGCTTTCTTATATACAGTTTATTTTTTAAATAATTCATGCACATCCTTTTTTTTTCTTCATGCTAAATTTCTGCGCCATCCTATCAGCACTCATGAAGACTTATTTGTAGGGGGCAAGGAGTTATTGAAGTCGGTTATCCACCTTAAAATATTTATGAAATCATGGATAGAACATACGCACAATATATGCTCGGATGCAACTGTGATTATGCAACCACACTAGTGACAGTCCCATTCTGCATTCGGAAAAGTATGATACTGTGTTTAGTTGCATTAACTGCATCTTCGCGAAATGTCGGATGCAGTGTTGCAACCATACTAGCTCGCTTCTGCATTCTGGGTTGCATAACAAAGCTATTAATTTACATCTTTCAATATAAATATATTTTAAAAGTGAACTTAAGAAATTCTTCAACAAATTGAAAATCCTTTTTTCCAAGCGCCTCTCTTTTGGAAGAGTCCAGTTGTTTTGTCGACGGTTTGCGCATCCACCAGTTTGCAGCGGTATCCATATTTTTTAGGCCCGCCCGTAGGTCTTGTGCGCCAGTTCCTTACAGGTCGGTCGCTTCCAGAGCCGAAAAGTAGGCTGACGCTTTTCATTAGGTCTTCTTGACCTTTGCCGCTCGAGGGTTGTTGATGTGGTTGTGTGACTGTAATCAATCATCGGTTACGGTTCTACAAAATATTTCCACAAAAACTTACGGTACATTCGTAGGATTGGTTCCACACCACCTGAGTAGATATTAATTGAAGTTAATTTAAGGCATGCGATGGTGCTGGTATCCCAAAGTGATAAAGCTATGCAAAAAGAAAATATGCAGCAGCAACTCCATTCTATCAGCTGTGCTATGACCCTACTCGAAATGTTCCCCCATATTTACTGTAAACAAGTTATTATTTTTAACATGCGTGCGCAAAAATAGTAGGGGTGGGAGAGAAATATAAAACAGTTTGTACCTACTTCCGCAATAGTTGACCAAATTTTTTAATTATTAGATTCAAATTATCGTCGTCCTTCGTATAATACCGGGGGGAAGCGGGGAGGTCGCCGGGGGTGCACTGCCACTGCGTTTTTCTGCAGTCCTCGCATTATTTTAGTTAAGGACTGTTGTTGTTAATTTGGTTGCCGTTTTTTTTGTAAACTCTTCCTTTGCATTTCCGGTTTTTGGTTGTAAGGTTTGGGTACTTTTTCGCCATGACGTATGTAAGAAGAGAGACGCGAATGAACTAATGGAAAATTTCAACCAGTGTCTTTAGCGGAGAGAAGAGGGATGAGCTGCTACATGATGCTTGCAACAGACGTCTTTGTTTCAACACCTGCAGGGTCCGGGGGGGAATGTATTCGATTTAGATTCCAAAGTGCAAGCGCGCTATACAATTTTTCTTTGGTATACTTTTCTAATTTACCAATTATACCTATAGCGCAACTTGCCGGTTTACCTACTGTAAATGAAGATTTACTAATATTCGTATTTACCCTCTTATACGTACCTACTCTTATTTAGTTCCATACGTAGTTGTATGTCTACAAAATAGATTCTCAATGATAAGCAATTCGTGGAAACCAATTACAGCCACACGTAAATTATATCCTTGCTTTTTGGAAATTTTCCCCCGAGCAATGTAGTGCCCTTTATACAAGAACAAGGAAAACGCGATGTAGGTGCATAAGTACCTACGTATATATAGGCAAATGCCCCCACTAAACGCTAATGGAAAAGGTGCTTATCTAACTGCTGCTGCTGCATTTCTTTACTGCCTTAACTATTGCAAGCATTCTCGCGAAGTAATGATTAATTAAAAGGTGATGGGGAAAAAATTACTCTTCCAACTTTTTGACAAAAAACAAACGACTCGCAAAATCCTGTCATTGTTTTTTGATGTTCCGCTAACAGCTAACTGGCCAACTGCGCTTTATAGACAGATAGGTATTACGAAAAAAAAAACCAATTTAAAATTTATTTCGTATGAAGGGCTACCGCAAAATGCGAAACTGTATTCTAGTTCTCCGAAACCACTATTTCTAATGAGGAATATATATTACGAAATGCTAGTAGGTACGTCCAATATTAATTACCCTAACGAGACATGTTTTATTTGATTTTAACCAAAACTACTTACCTAGATATCCTAAAGAATAAATAGGTGACTTCCTTGACGTATTTTACCGCGTAAGGCGTTTTCAAAAAAACAAAGCGCCCTTGTTTCCGACCGTTATTCCTGGAAATGGGAGTATGCATTTCAGATCTAAAACAAAGAATGTATCGTTTTCTCACTCGTTACACGTTCCGTCTTTAGTTTTCCGCTACGATCGCAATTTGCCTCCTATTTACTATAGTTAAACGTAAAGTGCGCGCGCGAGTCACACACAATATGACATCACGAAAATTCTCAACGTTTCGAGCATCGGGCGCGAAAATTTCGCAACAAACATTTCTAAAGCCACCTGTCGATCAACAACGGCTATCAACGACACGTTGGCGTTGGCTCCAGAAATAAACGCTGTGGTAAACAACGCGGTGTCTCTTAGGTAAATTCGTATCAAAATGGGATTCCATTGAAATAGATGCCCGTGTCATCACAATCAATTCGCCCCACGATTGTGTAAGTATACAACATTACTCTGATACCTTTTGAGTTGGGGCATGTAGATACTACGTTAAAAGTAATTGTTTTCTTGTTTTTACAGAACAGAAAATTTAGTGGACACACATCCGTAGCGCGGTTAGAAGGAGGATTTGCTACAGATTTTCTGTTTGCCTGGTGGGTTAGTACCTTCAATAAACGATTTTTTTTCATTCTCCAATTTTCTTTTTTAAAGTTGAAAATAATCCCTCAAATTGCTGGAAACGATGAGATCACCTACACTGCCTCCACTACCAACAGCTCAGGTGGAGCCCATGGTTGAAACTTTATCGTAACGGGCGAATTATTGCTTACAGGGACGCAAAACAACTTGAATCTCTCTCGATGCCCTTCGTCGTTTTTCCGCACCAAAGGTACGTTGTGGTTGGAGCCCATTTAACGATCCAAGGGATATTCGCAACCTACACCTTCGAGGGGATTGCAGCGCAAACTACATATTTCAACACAAGAGGCGGGATGGAATTCAAAGGATGACCAGAGATGGCATTTTTTCTTTTCTTAATGAAACACGATTATTTGTAGTCTAATGGTTTTATTTACAACACTATTTACATAATCTTTTTTCAAAAATAGCTAATGTTTACATAAATTTTAAGTTTGTGGTCTTTCCTGACGGTCCTGCACTTGTAATGAACACCTCGTTTGTCTTCAAGGATTCTTGGAACTCGCTCAGCCGATTACCTACTTTGAAATACTCGTAGAACCGCAGTGGTAGTACGCATTTATAATTTTCTGTTTCCAGTACTATTCGGTCACCATACTTTGTGTTTATGATATCGATATTCAGAATTTTAAACTTTTCCTCCACTTCCATATCCTTAACGTTCTTAAATGCTTTACAGAATGTTTCATTGTTGAGCGCATTAAGATCCATTTTTTAACTGTTTGGAAAGCACTATCGGACTGAATGAAAAAACGCCCTGCAGCTCACCTTATATTTCCAAAGTGTGGCCTTGAAATCTACAGTAATAGATTTCTGCACGGTGATTGACAGGAGATAGAATTGTTAGCCCGGACGCAAACCCCGAAAGCAACTTAGTGTGATTTCAGTCCTACATTATTGAGAGTAGCTTTACTAGTTTTACAAACCCCAGTCCAGAACCGTACAAGCAACACATTCGAACCCACGCAGCACATATACAAACCTAGTTACTTGAAGGCCCCGATCAAATTATCCTACCCCGGAAGTAAACCACCACGATCAAATTGCCTTAAACGACCTTGAAACTTCACCGTCACCTGACAACAAACCTCCAGCCCAAATAGCTCGGACGCAAACCTCCGATACTTTATATCGAGCACAAACCTCGACTCCTTGACATTGACGTTAGCACAGGTGCAAACCTCGCTAGCGCAGTTCAGAACCACTCAATCCTAGTGACTTTTCTAGGGGGATTTTAGTGTGATTTAGAATCACCCGTACACTGCCATCGACAATACCCCTCGACTCAGGCGCAAACCAAATTACTTTAGCTCGGACGCAAACCTCCGATACTTTATCTGGAGCGCAAACCTCGACCCCCTTGACGTTAGCACAGGCGCAAACCTCGCTACCACAGTTCAGAACCACTCAATTCTAGTGACTTTTCTAGGGATTTTCATCTAGTGAGATTTAGAATCGGTCATATATTACTCTCGACTCAGGCGCAAACCAAATTACTTTAGCTCGGACGCAAACCTCCGATACTTTATCTCGAGCGCAAACCTCGACCCCCTTGACCTTAACTTTAGCACAGGCGCAAACCTCCGATACTTTATCTTGAGCGCAAACCTCGACCCCCCTGACATTAGCACAGGCGCAAACCTCGCTACCACAGTTCAGAACCACTCAATTCTAGTGACTTTTCTAGGGGATTTTCATCTAGTGAGATTTAGAATCGGCCGTACACTACCATCGACAAGAACCGTCAGGCACAAACCGACTTACTTTAGCTCGGACGCAAACCTCTGATACTTTATCTTGAGCACAAACCTCAACCCCTTGACCTTGACGTTAGCACAGGCGCAAACCTCGCTAGCACAGTTCAGAACCACTCAATTCTAGTGCCTTTTCTAGGGGATTTTCATCTAGTGAGATTTAGAATCGGCCGTACACTACCATCGACAAGAACCGTCAGGCACAAACCGACTTACTTTAGCTCGGACGCAAACCTCTGATATTTTATCTTGAGCACAAACCTCAACCCCTTGACCTTGACGTTAGCACAGGCGCAAACCTCGCTACCACAGTTCAGAACCACTCAATTCTAGTGACTTTTCTAGGGATTTTCATCTAGTGAGATTTCGTAGCGGCTATATATTACTACTTTGAGATATTGAGTGTGAGGTTTTTTTTATATCGGGTCATGCTCGCGCCGCCATGCTGAAGAGGTGAATAAAACTAGGAAAAAAATTAATTAAGTAGGGTTGAGGCATCTGTGTTTGAGACAAGGTGAGGGTTGACAAACGTTCGATTTGCTAGTCAGGGGAAGTGTACGAGTCAGAAAAATAAATCATTTCAAAATTATTAGTTAATTTGGGTAGGTCCCTCATACATAACGTAACAATATTATCTGTAGTTCGAATTACAAACAAATAACTGTTTAATTTTTAGAGAAACGTATATACTCCTTTTTTATTAATAGTTCCGCATCATTACACCAAGACCCGATAATGGGGCTATATCTAATTTTACTTTTGAGAATATATTTACGTGATTACGTAATATTTACAATGTGAGATTTAGAAGTGGTTTTTTCAAACAATATAAAAGATATTAATTTCAAATAACGTACTTATTTCAAGTTTAGGTGATGTGACGTTATTAAGCCCCCCAGGTACGATCATGAAATTGATTAAAATGGCTAGAGAGCACCTTAATTAAGCGTTTTCAACAAAAAAATGCGGGAGAAGCCCTAAATTTTCCACAATCTTAATGCAAAGTTCACATAATTTCGTCAAAATGTGAGGTTATGTAACTCCAAATTTCATGATTACTTCAATTTTTTAAGAAGTTATGTTATTTCTCCATGATAGTACTGTACAATTATTTCCCAAATTTGTTTTTTTTTCATCTCTAAAAATTTACCGCTATGGACCCGGGCCTACATGGCCCATTGCTAAATCCGGCCCTGCAAATAGAGAAAAGTGTGTGACCTCCAATAGTGAACATACATTATTCACAGTTGAGCACCTATTTAAAAGTCATACTTAATGCATAGGGCGATAGGGGTCAATATCTTTGACAGTAAAACAGCCAAGTCTTGGAATTAGAATTTAGCGGTCGATTATGACGTATCCACTCTATTGGCAGCTGACCACAGTTAAACAAAATAGAGGAGGGGGGAAACTGGTGTGAGTTCTGTCAGTTAAATGGTATTAACTCCTCGTTTCAATAACGAACATTTTGGAATTTCTAACCTAACAATTTAATAAAGACTTGCTTCTTTTGGTTCGTTCACCACTTATAGATCGACAATGAGCGGAGCACCAGGTAGCCCAAGATTATCGGTTAAAGGAGTTTTATGCTTTGACTATACCTAGGTATGGCAATATTTGGGTTCCGGTAGTCGTTCTAGATTATTTAAGGGGACTTAAAAATTATGCGAGGACAATGGGTCATATGCTGCAAACCTTAACTATCACGATACCGAATCGAGTTAAAAAAGTGGGGAGAAATAAATATCACAACCGGTACTACGATTGCTTTTTAGATTTGGAGCTAGAGATTTGTTAGTTCGAACCATTTACCTCATATAATACAAATGGAAGTTAGGAGGGGATCAGTAAGGTTCTTGTTGTTATCAAAGCTGTTCCACAAGGCAACTGCCAAATGCTTCGCAGATGGATTAAGCGTACTTTGTAAAGCAGTGGTATGGACGTTATTTTCCGCGTATGGCACCAGGCATGAAGTCACATCTGCTGCTAGTAGGAAATGGTTAGCTTTGAAACTATTCGGTTATAAACGGGTGGGTCCCAGAATCCCAAAATGTTTGCTATGCTGTATAACAGATCTGTTTGTTGGGACAGATCCTTTACGAAACAGTGTTAGGCGACTAGACTTTGTATTTACTTTTGGGTGATAG